TGCTTACCACTGATTAATGCAATACAAATAGCCTTTTGCTAATTCGTGTGCCATCTTGTTGCCTTTTTGTGTGTGTTTGCTTTGTTGCGTAGGCTTACTCGCCCATTTCGAGTGCCGCACGAAGCCCCAACGATTACCCCTGTGACACCAGGGTTTATGTAATGTCTACTACCTCTCCTAATATGTAGGAAAGATATATTGGGTCACTCGATCATTGAGTTGTAGGCTAACCACACTCCACCTTTTTTTTTGACAGGTAACCACCCTCCACCTTTTTGCGTCTCTACACTTTTCAAAAAAAGTAAAAAATTATTAAACTCTACATTACAACAGTTATTTGAGGGTGGCTAATAAATTTTAGATGGTAAACCAAAGCCCAGGAGGAGAAAGGTAATGTTAAATGCTAAGAGGTCATGGTGTAAAACTTAATCCTATTCCCTTAGACTGAAAATACATGTAAGATATTCATTAGATCTTATAAAAAAGTGATTTATAATTTTATATAAAAAAATGCCATGCACCCTAAGAGAAGTACAGAACTAGCCTTTCCACCCAAAGTGCTATTTACATTAGCTCAGTTTTTCCTATATAAAGTAGATACCAAACCATAAGAAGTGAAACTAGACCAATGCATGACAACTACTGAAACTCTGAAACCAAGATATGATAACAAATTTAGAAAAAAAAAATCCTTCAAGTGTATTTGCAGAATAAAGAGTTTACTTACAAAGCTGGAGAACCTTGTTATCCTGAAAGGGTTAAAGTTGACTGGAGCGTCCTCCAAAAACAGTTCCACATAGTGGAGCAGGAACAAGCCACAATCAAATGAATTTTCCTGCTGTGGCAGCTGGAAATACATTGAAAATTTGAGAAGGTAACATGTAAATACCAACAAGAATCAGCTAGAATGTCATAAATCATTATAAAAAAGATGAAACATAGAAAGCTTCAAAAAAGATGCATTTTTACCTCATAATTGCTATATATATATATATAGCAGTAAGTTTTGTTGATTATGGAAAAGAACTATAATATGTACAATAGTTGAGGGTTCTTAGCAGTTAGAATAGACAAAGCTACCTAACCCCATGTTTATAAATACAACTTGAAAGTTGAAACTAGAAAGTAGCCCCCCCAAAACAATTGTTCCCTGTTAACCCCTCATTTAGAAAGTGAGTCAAAAATTCTGTTATCTGCTCTATGTGACCATAGTCCATAACCAACACACCTTACCTCCATGACCAATTGCTTAACTTATAATTTGCCAGTGCTTCCAGGTCCCTTCAACTTCCAACTTTAAACCATTTGACCACTGTTCTGGAATCACCTTCCACTACTAGAACAGGTCATCAGCCAATGTTGGTCCTAGCTATCTGGGGTCTTGGGAGGAGTGAACAGGATACAGACTTAATCTTTGACTTTATTTTTGCTCAAGTGGCTTCTCTCAGACTTGAACTTGCATTCTCACACTTGTCAGCCCTAGATTTTACTATTACACCATGTAATCAACTTCCACTACTGCATTTCTCAAATTCGGTGACTTGTATAATTTTAATCCTTGGAGCACAGTATGTACTTCAGCTATTCTGCGGTCACCCATGCCTATTGGTCCTGAGAATAAGACAATAATTAAACCTGAATAGTCCCTGATAACTCCCCCTACTCTGGAAAGACCAATGTTACCAATGTTGCAGCCATCAAAGTTTACTTTCACTCAGTGTTTTAAAAGGTGTGGGAAACGTACACCTGGAGGTGCACCTCCTCCAGGCAAGATGCCCCCAAAATGCATTGAGGTATATGCTGGAGGCATTAATACCTATGAGGCATACACCTCAGGTGCAACAGGCGTTTGCCTCACATGAATTTTGCATGAGGCATGCTAGTACACCTCATGCACAGCTCATACAAAAAGACAGAAAGAAAGAAAAAAGGAAAAAATGGAAAGGAAAGGGAAGGTAAGGAAAGGAAGTTTCAGCTGGGGCTCTGCCAACATGTTTCAGCATGAATGCAAAACCATGAATCTAAAAGAGACCACAGAAAAGGGGAAATCCTATGCAATACAAAAATTGGAACTTGTGCCAGTAAGGAAGAACCCAATACTAGGATTGCCAACTCACGTTTAAGAAAATATGCTAATCATTTATATGGCAGATGTCAAGGATCCAAAAGAATGGAGTGAGCTTTGATGCTCAGGCTCTTATATGATGGCTAGTCACCAAGGGCCTCCTTAAGAGTTAGACATCCAACTAATGGCAATATGAGAATCCTATATGATAACTAATCCGATCAAAAACCATGAGGGAGAACCTGAGATCCTGAAGGAGGAAAAACTACACCCTCATTAAGTCCCCATGTCCTAGATGATCAGCACAGGAAGAATTACATCATATCTGCTACTTGTGGACTCCTATCCCAGAGACCAAGAGGTAGATCCAAGATGTTTATTTTTTTTTTTAATAGCCCCAAAATTTACTCCAGGTGGAGGGGTGGCCACGTTAATATTTTATTAATGATGATCAGTAAAAAAAAAATAGATACAGGGGAGGACGTAGCCCGCCTTGCCCTAGAACCCAAATACAAATGTTTTTAGTAAGTCTAGAACCCATGCCTCTAATTTCTATATGTTGCTTAATTATCATTAGTCCACCTCTTTACTACATCCAAGATTTTCATGTAAGAGTCTTATACTTTATGAAATATCTTGTAATTTTTTTCCAAAATTCCCCAGTTTCCCATCAGCAGATTACTTAGCTGACAAATTGGCTAAGCAAGGGGTTCAGAAGGCACATCTGTTTTGGGCTCAAATGTAATGTAAATAGAAGGGAGGGGGCATTGGAAACTGGCTATGTTTGGGGATGCTGTTGCATATTGTAAATATTACATTTATGAGTAACATGAAGCAATGTTATTAATGAAATATCAGAAAGTACAAAAGACAGGTATCCAAGAGGTTGATATCGCCTGGTTACAGAATATATACATCAAAGGGTTACTACCATCCCCCTAAAAGAGATTCCCTCTCTCCACCCCTTGTTTTGACAACCATTAGCAGCCCTGTAAACACAGTGCACTAAGACCTCCTCATTTATTCTAAGCTCTTTTTATCTCCCTTAATAAGTTATTGTACTGCCAAGGACATCTTTCACCATCTCAGACCCAACCCACAACCACTCTGGAGTACTCCCTCTATTATCACATTGACATAATTCATCCTTTTTACAAACCTCAATCCCTGTAGCACTGCCAATATTTCAGCTTTGGTTGAGTTTCCATGGCCTTCTGGCCTAAAAAAATTGTTAAAATGTCTTCATTGGTGTTCCTGAACACTCCTCCATATGGGGTTGGATTACCCATGCTGCATCCATTGAGGGTGAACAACAACACTGCTGATGGAGTATTGTAAATAATACATTCTTTATGATTTATTATAAAATTTTCAGTTACTGATAAAAAAATTTCCCCTAGAACTAAATGCACACCAGTGCCATCTCCAAAGAAAATCCAGCATGTCTTTAAGAATTACTTCTATAAAGACAGAAAATTTCCTTGAAGGCCTGAACCAAGAAGACATACTTACATTGAGAAAATAAGTGGTTTGTGGATCCCTTATCTTCAAAGCATAAGATGCAAGCACGAGGAAAAATGCCTCAACAGTGCTGTCTGAACATAGACAGGGATGTTGGAATCTCAAACGTGTCTAGGAGTCTGATTCAGCAAGATGAAAAACATAGACTCGGAGACACATCTAGAAAATAATAACTACTACTAAACTTGTGTATTCTAACATCAGATACCACACAAAAGGGCATAAAAAAATAAAAATGTTGTCTTCATTACCTAAGAAAGTAATATGGGAAAGAGATGGTAATTATCATTACATCAGATGCTCATTTATGTTAAATAAGCAAAGACATGAAGGAAAAGGATATGTCAAGGTGCCCTTCAAGAATCTGTAATGTTGGAATACAGTACATATCTGACACACATTTGCTCCATTTAGAAGAGTCCATGCAATACTGGCTCCAAGTCTCTTAATTTCCCTTGGAGCAGGTTGCAGCTGCTTACTTTCACCTAAACAAGGCTCTTGTGGTAGAGGTCTACATTACTTTAAAGGGAACTTGTGGGTTAACAACTTCATAATTGGCTTGTCAAATTAGAGATAGAACACTTTTACGTTAGTTAGACTAACTATTCTCTTTCAACATTGGCAAACAATGGAAAAATTAATTGAAATATGATCCCCTACATATTTTCAGAACCCCTACAAATCCTCTAAAAATGCTTCAATACCCTGAATGCCAAAATAGTGATTTAATGAGTGCCCTGTAGGCACCCATTGAAGTGCACTTGATCCACCATTTTGTGTGACATTTTGAGTGTCAAAAGAGTGACACCCTGAATGCCAAAATAGTGACATTGGCAAGCAATGGAAAAATTAATTGAAATATGATTCCCCCACATATTTTCAGAACCCCTACAAATCCTCTAAAAATGCTCCAATACCCTGAATGCCAAAATAGTGATTTAATGAGTGCCCTGTAGGCATCCATTGAAGTGCACTTGATCCACCATTTTGTGTGACATTTTGGGTGTCAAAAGAACTAAATTTGGATACAGTGCCATAAAACTCTAAATGACCTCTAAAATGGTGTATCAACCACAAGGGCTAACTAACTGTTAGGTGCTGAGAAGTATATGTACCCCTAGGTATAATCTCCCTTTATGGGCCGTTTCTGGAATTGAACTAAATGCTACATCAGAAGATGCAAGGATAGCAACAACATGAAAAAATAACATTTACCTCCATGACCTCATTTTCTCACATCAAATAACCAATCAATAGTTGAGACTATCATATTCCCACACTCTCTCATGTAGAAGGATGTTTGTACTTCTATTCCTCACTTTTTTAAGCAAACCTTAGTTTAGGAGGAAGGGGGGTAAATGTAGAATTTGGTCCCAGGTCAGTGGGCACTGCCTCCATTGGCTTCAGCTAAGCCAGCTGACACTTTCCCTTTTTTTTTTCTTTTCGATTAAGTAAATTTCATTAAAGAATGACTAAAGGAGAGCATGGGCCATTGCGACCTGGGTGACAAGGGTTCAAATTTTGGAAACAGCCTGCATGAGTAAGGCTGCATACATCTGTCCCTCCCCAGACCCCACATTGGCGGAAGCCTCATGCACTGTGCTGCCTTTTAATGACTAAAGGAGAAAAATGCACAAGGAGAAAGAGATAAATATAAAATACTTTTTTTGGAAAGTAAAGAAAGACACAAGATGCTGAACAAAAAGAAATGATACAACAAACTATGGCAGACCTAAAGGGCCACTCTTAAACAAACCTTTGGGGGAAGGCCCCAACCAAGTCCAGAAATCCTTATGACCAGCTGAAGAAGATGTTACTCTAGCCACCTGCTTCTCTGGCTTGCTTTTTGATAATTAATGAAAATTCTGTTAATAATCAATTAGATGTGGTACTGAATAGAACAGAATGGTTGAACAAGGTTCAAATAGCTCACCCCATATAATTGGCACAAGGCATCAATTATGATTAACTAAAATACACATTCAACATTCATGGTCATCTCCAGAACTAAATTTCAGATAAGAGGACACTGTTTGAAGTCTAAATATTGTTTATCCATGTAATTACATGCTATAGAAGCTAAAACAGTAAACTGAAATACCTCCAGTGGAATAAACCGCAAATTAAGGAATTTTTCTGAAACATCTTCAAGTGCCTTTTGCCTTTCTTTCCACTCTTCCCAAAGGTAGCTGTTCCCTCAAGATAAGAAAAGGTCAATGAACAATTGTCAATGAAAGTTTAAAAATGACGAATATAAGTTTCTAACAATGCTTTAAGAATTAAAAAATAAATGATGATTAATCTTTAAGCAAGGGCCTACATCATATAAAATCACCACTTCTATCCAATTTAGAATGCAGAAAATATAATTTTACAACCAGGTCAGATTTCAGAATCCACATGCAAGCAGATTCTAGGAGCAGACTTGGTAGAATGATCACAACAAAGTAATCCAAGTTTTTATTGGATTTTATGAGGATGAATTTTAGAACCTAGATTTTAGAACCAACATACTAAATTCCAAAAGGACTTTGGAATACCATGATTAAAAGGGCCCCAAATTGAATGCTATCAAAATATTTAAGTCAGTTGGAGAAGTCCAAATTATGGACTAAAACTACACAAGTGTATATGTTGTATGCTTTTAGTTTATAACTTTTTTTTGAAGATAAATAAAGAAGAAAATTTATTGAAAATAAACAATGGTACAACTTCTTAGGTGACACAGTCACTAAACCAAAATACAATGATCAAATATTCAAAATACACCAAAATTACAAACCAAAATCTTCTTTTTACCCCTAATTCTCCATTACTTTTCATCTTCCATTTCAATATTTTTTTGTTTCTTCCCATTCATTACTTTATAAAGAATAGGTGGCTTGTACTAATCTCCATTAAGTAACTTACAAGTGAAAAAAATTTATAAACATGGTTACTGGCAAACTATCCCAAGCAAATTCTTTTCAGTATGGGGAACAAACGTAACTTTTGAGGGTCCCAAGGTTTCTCGTTATCTCACATATACATGCATATTGAGAAGAAAGGAGTTAACACCTGGGAGGAACAGAGCAACAAGGAAATATGCCTATAGAACCCCAAATCCATCCAACCAACAACAGTTAGTAGACTTGTATCTACAAATAACTACTCTAATAGAGAGGGCATACTTTGGGTATAAAGCATGGTACAACTAAACAAAAATTATTCTTAATAACTTGAAGACAGCAGGATCTCTATTTTTTTTTGGTGGGGAAGGGGGTGTACAACATTATAGGCTCCTCAAAGATTTTATCCAAATTCTCTAAAGCCCTTACACTCAACCAAGGGGAAGACATTTTCTACAAGGAATGCCATACAAGCCTGCATTTTGAATCAGATCATCACAAAAATCTGGAGAAAGGTCCAAGATCAGCTCCAAACTCTACAGGAAAAAGGCAAAAACAAAAATGAAAGATAACCTTTGAACAAGATTCTTGAGGCCTTTATGACTTCCTTTGATAGAATCCATGTGCAATATGCATGGTACCTTCGTGGCCTTGATAAGATCTTCATCTGGGGAGAAAAACAAGGTCATGAAGCATAAACCTTGGTTTACTAAAATTCATATTGCAACTTCAAATGAACTTGCCTTTAAAATTGACTATTTCACCAGGATGGCAGATGACCATCAAGCTCCAATGAAGACTGTTGATCAAGATGCAATAAATATGTTACATCAATGGCAAAACTTTTTTACAGTTGAAATCACTTTTATGGCAAGAAAAAGATATGCACTACTAATTTCTTACTTGAAGTTTACAGGAATGAAGATGTAATCTTTTTCAAAGAGATTCACTTTCCTTGTCCATTTCCGAACACGTTGAAAAGCTGCCCTGCCTTCAGAAGCACTAGATGGATCTTTGTCCATATCAGCCAGCTTTCGAAAGAAAAAACTATTAAAAAAGTGGAACCTATGTTTGCTCTCAGGTTTGATTTTATTCTTCAAATATCTGCAAGTAATTTACAAAGTTGTTAAGAAATGTACTTTCCAAACCTAAAAGTTGAAGCTAAAGCCACAAAAAAAAGCATAGATAAATGTAATAATATGCATTACAAGAAAACAATGTGACTGCAGAAGTTGCTAAAATAATAATAAAAAAGGTATAACTAATCAATCAAATTTGTTAAATTTATAATGTTAATATTCATTGAACAAACAAAATAATCCTAAGTGCATCAATTTCAACGTAATATACAATCCAAAGATAGGTTCTATAAATCAAAACAAATACCAAAGGCGTTCATATCAGTGGTTATTGACTATTTCTACCATTTTTGTTAAGTAAATACAATTACAGCTGTGTCATTATAATAACAAGAATACTAAAATGAAAAATAGCTATAAGACTGGGAGCTTTGTATGAATCAGGGTCTTGAGTAATCAAAACACAACACATCCTAAAATGAGTGCAGTAGAAATCTTGAGTAATCAAGACACGACACATCCTAAAATGAGGGTAGTAGAAACAAAGGTTTTCATATGAATGAGCGGTAAGACTCAAAGGAATACAAACAAACAATTACAAATGAATAAATCTTTCAGAACTTAAGAATAGACCCAATATATGATAAAATCAGAAGGTATAATAAGATAATTTGGCCTTATGCACAAGATACAATGAGACAAAAGATATCATGCCAAACAGATCCAGTGTACACAAAGGCACAAAGTAAACAGCATAGATTCAAAGGTTGTTAAGAAGAATTCAGAGAGACAAAGGGTAGAGTTGAGTCACAAAAACTTGGGTTTGAAATCCTTGATGTCTCACAATACAACTAGTGGCGATCATTTATAGCCCACCCTGGTTGGAACTTGTGGCGGAAGAGTTATAGACTAAGTGCCTAGGCGAGCGCCTACATTCATCTAAAAAATTGTTTTTTTTAATTTATTGATATTTTTATTCGATGTTTTATTCTTTTAAAATAAATCTGGTTACATGATATCATTCTAGTATTAAGACCAAGTATACAGCCTTTTTTTTCTTTATGTCATAAGGGTTTTTTTGGTTCGATTGGAGAGGGAGGAGAACCGAAGACTTCAAGCCCCAGCCCAATTCCATCGCACCTCAGCTACTTCACTGATTCAGACATTTTTTCCTTTTTTTTTTTCAAATCAGCTCCACTCCTCCCTTCACTGATTCAGTCATTGTTCTCACTTCTCACTTCAGTTTCTAACAGACGAACCTATCATTAATATATATGAATATGATTATATGGCTGAAATCTATAGATTTTACATTTATAGATTCCATCGCTTGGGCGCCATATGGTCGCCCAGGCTCACCTAGTCACCTTGACAACTATGGGACCAAAGAATGCATATGAAGAGTCCAAAGAGAAACTACCCTACCGTAGGTTGTTTGTAATATTTCCACTTTTTTCTGATTTTCATGAATAAAATGCTCTAGTTATTCATAAAAAAAAAAAATCCAAGGAGATGCCTCCTACCCCAAGGCCAAAACATACACAAAAAAAGTTAATAATAATTATTAAAAGGGAAAATTCCCGATAGGTACCCAGTACTTTAGGTCGAGTGCCAATTTAGTACCCGAACTTTGAAACGCGACAATCTAGTACCCGATCTTTCGAAATGCGACAATCTAGTACCTACTGTTAATGGACCATCAGTTATATATATCACGTGACCTCATGTGTGATTTAAAACTTTTGAAAATGTCAAAATTACCCTTGGAAATAAAACACACTGTTCATCATCTTCTTTCTCAAGAAAATGAAGTAGAGCCCAATCTCTCAACAGTCCAGACCATAATTTCATGACGAAAACCCAAGAGCCCAAAATAAAGGGCTCGCCGCTCGCTATCCTCCAAGTGCCCAAAATAAAGGAAGCGACAAACCCTAGTTTTTAAAATCCAAACTTCAGAAGCTTACGTAACAATCCTCCACTCTTTAGAAGCTTACATCTGTGGTGCCATAGTCTTGGCCTAGAGCATATTTCAGTCGAACTCTACCAAAGATTTGATCTTACTTGCCAACGAATCCATAACTAAGACAAGCCAGCGAGCCCTTCGGGCTACCAGATGGAAGATCAAGCAAATCAATCGCATTTGAAGCCCCAACGCCAAGAGAAATACCTACCTACAATGAATGGAACTACAGTAAGCTGCTGATATGGCAGCTTACCGAGTATGGCAAGATCATCTTCATAGAATCTAATTTGGTCACACTCAGAAACATCGATGAATTTTTCCGATACCCCCAGTTATTGGCCATAGGAAACAACCAGGTTCTCTTCAATTCTGGGATCATGTTGATTGAGCCATCGGAGTGTACATTCAGGAAGTTGATGGATAGGAAGCAAAATGTGGTTTAATACAATGGAGGAGACCAGGGCTTTCTAAATGAAGTGTTTACGTGGTGGAACTGGTGGCCGTCGACTGAATTATCTAAAAGTTTTCGAAGAGACTAAAACTAGTGAAAGAGAGAAGCTGTCGAAGTCTCTGTACGTGTTCATTATTTGGGGTTGAAGCCATGGATGTGTTACAGTGACTACGACTGTAACTAGGATATGGGGAAATGCCGTATATTTGCGAGTGACTCGGCTTACAGAAAGTGGTGGCAAGTGTTCAATGCAATGCCGAAGAGGTTGCGAGCTTATTGCAGCCTCACTAAGAAAATGAATGCAAGGATAAACAAGTGGAGAGAACGGGCAAAGAATGGCAATTTCCCCGATAGGTACTAGAAGATCAAGGTTAAGGATCTTAGGCAACACCATTGATGGAACATTAATTTTTAAAGTAACACCTAGCAGGTGGAATATTAATTTTTCTCATAGGTAATTAACAGGTGGAATATCAATCATGTGAAAGGGTACCCACACCACTTTGTCTATTAACAAAGGACCCCTGGTTTTCCCTTCGAAGACTTATGAGTGCTGAGATGCGTTTAACTTGAAGGGCATTTGTTACACAGTTGTTACTTTATCAACCAGTAATGGAACACCTAGGACCACCTTTTAACATATGGTTGATAAAGAAATTAGGTTACACTTGAAGGGCATTTGTGTCTTTTCCCATGACACTTAATGGTTGGTTAATAGCAGGTACTAGATTGTCGCATTCTGAAAGTTCAGGTACTAGACTGTCGCGTTTTAAAGTTTGGGTACTAAATTGGCACTCGGCCTAAAGTACATGGTACCTATCGGGAATTTTCCCTTATTAAAAGGTAGCCAATTTAACATCTTTAAAGAAATGGAAGTTCAATGAGGGATAAAAGAATGATTTATATGGGATTGAGTTCTACGCAACCAAATATTATATCATATGGAACATGAAAATTCAATAAAGAAACATCATCATCTAAGCCTTGTCCCAACTATATGTGATTGGCTAGTTGAATCCCATTTTGCTAACCCATTTTGTTCAATGTCATATCCATTGTTTTTTTATAGGAACGGTAACTTTAATCAACTTATAAAGAATTAGTACATAGTTCTAGTTCCCAAGAAAATGGAAACTGACCCCCAAAAGACTTCATTCTTAAAATTCAGCCCAAAAGAGTTTGACCCAAGTCCAGGTGAATGAGTCTTGGTGCTGCATGGAAGGAAGAGGCGAGGCAGAGACAGGTGAGGCCAGAACATTCACATCCCATGAAGCTGCTAGATTGCAGGACCTCATTTCACTCAAAGCGTAACAACCATGCGAGATCGTAAAGCCTGTGAGGCTACTGCCTCGTGAGGCTGCTAGGTCAAGATTCTAGACTCTGAGCTTTGAGTTCGCGAAACTAATCTACAAGGCTCCTACTAGACCAAATCATGAAGCTCTTCCATTCGCCTTGTGATTTCTTCACCCTACAATGCTTGTTGACTTGATCCGTTAGAATTTCTCTTTGTAACAAACAAGTTTCTTCCCAGAGACTACCATCAAAGTTTGTTCATTTATAATATTGTAACAAACAAGCTTTGAATCAAATAGAATCTCTCTTGGCATTCCTATTGTCTTTTTCCTCTTTTCATTTCTCTTGTTGTGCTTGTTTCAAGCCACAGATCCCCCAAAATCCTTTCACCTCCTTCTAGAGCAAAGGTCCAACGTCATCTCCTTTGCGGGTTGTAAAACCGAAAGGCTGGTGTTGGCACTATTTCATCTCTTGTTGTTTCAATGTCTTGTTGTCATCAATTGTCTTCGGTGAGACGAACATTGTTTAAGGAGCTCCCTTCGGTGAGACGAACATTGTTGTTTCAATGTCTTGTTGTCATCTCTTGTTGTTTCAATGTCTTGTTGTCATCAATGTCTTGTTGTTTCAATCCCTTGTTTGGATTAAAGCATCTGCCAAACTATTGGCTTATCTTCTCACCTATCTAATAGTTACACTCAAGTCCCTTGAAAGACATCTAATTTCCCTCATAGCTTGCCTATGAGTCCAAATCCCCATGCTACCTATTTGAACTTTGAAGCCACACTATAACCAATTTGGAGCTCCCTTCCACTTCAATTTGCTGAAGGCACAATTGTCTTGTCAATCTCAACCCTTATAATAGGGCTAGCACTTCAGCCTTTTTTTTTTGATAAATAGCTAGCACTTTAGCTCTTAAGAGAGTCATCCTCTTTTATGGGCACAAATTATAAAGCAACAACCTTCCCTTCTCTATCTCTTACCATTCCACTTATCCCAAAGGGCCTCGATTGCCTTGAGAAGTCCCATCAAAATTTATCTCTTATCATTCCTCCTAAAATCATGAAAGGAGAAATCCTTCAACAGATCAAAGGTTTTTAGCTAATGGACCACCTTAAAGAGACGTTATTGATTAACTCTTTGATTTACCCCGATCTTGAAAGATGTGATGTTGTGGGCAATTTCGGATTAAAGTGTCATATCCATTGTTAAATAAATATATTGAATTTGAGTTCATTAACTTAACTTTTAGAATGGTTCATTTTAATTGAATGATAATAATTCCATTTTCAAAGTTTTAAGTTTGAATTCTTAAATAGTTATTAATTTCTAGTCTTATAGTATTCCATTCCTTTGTTGAATTTCACTTCATTTGCAAATTACTCCATTGGATCGAGATATATAGATAATAAATATCCATCCATTGATGTTGATACCTTGGTTCACACAAGTGTATGTCAATATTTTTCCTTTTTTTATGATAAGAGATATGTGGTAACGTATAATTTCATTAAAATAGAAGTGCCCACACATAACTGGTGGCTGTACAACAGGAAATTACAATAATCAATAAAATAGACTACTTCCCCTTTGGTGTTTACAAAAAGATTTTCATAATCAAATAGATAGCTATAATCTGATCCAACCATTCTTATCCAAGCTGCTCACTAGGAAAACAGTTTGCCCACCATTTTTGGCCGCACATCCTCAATTTCACAGACATTGTCCTGAAAGACTCTTAAATTCCCCTCTGGCCATAATATCCAAAAACATTGTTCCTGAATAATTTTCCAAATGACTCTCCCTTTTGCTCAGGCCCTGGAGGTGCCACCGTTTCAAAAAGCAAACAGCCTAAACACTTTCACCCAGATGTTACAGTGAAGCTGCAATGCAATAACAAGTGATTCACAGATTCTTGAACCCTATTGCAAAGGACACATTCTGCTGAATCAATCCCCACACCTCTATTCAACAGGTTATCCTTAGTGACAATCTTATTTAAGTAGGAAGACCAAACAAAAAAAGATAGCTTTGAGGGAATTTATTCGCATCATATCATACCCATAGGAAACTTCTCTTCTTCCTGGGTCAACTTGTTATAAAAGGATTTTACAGTAAACTTCCTGGACCTCTCTTCCAACCACAGTCCTCTGTCTTTCTGCTAGGATCAATTTGCATATTACAAAGCTTCTGAAGCAAGCCTGTGAATGGTTCTATATCCCAATCATTCAAATATCTTCTGAGAAGCAGAATCCATACACATTCATCATTAGAATTCTGCATGGTCTGCCAATCTCACTTCCTTATTAACTGCTATCACAAACAATGTTTTAAAAGCACAGGGCGAAAAAAGCGCAAAGGCCATTTTGCATCCTAGGCACAAGGTGCAAGGTGAGGTGTGTTCCTTTTTGAAGAAAGGTGCAAAATATTAAAAAAACAAAAAAAAATTGCAAAAAGGCAAAAATATTGCAAAAATATATAATAAATTAAGAAATATTAAAAATAGTATTAATTAAAAAATCAAACTTTAATTTTAAACTAAATGTTTTGAAAAGCCTGTTAGCTCAAATTAAAATACATAAACATAACCTATAAAACACGTTCAAAGTGAAAAAATGCAAAAATAAAATAAAAAATAGCATACAAAACATATTCAAGCATGTCAAAACCTTTAATTTCATTATTTCTTTCCCAATTACACTATTTAAAATAGCTAATGTGATATTAAACATCTTTCATTCCTAATTCTACGAGCCACCTTTGTACCAAGACCCTTGAGGCAAGCTCATGTAATGGTCTTAAATTCTTGAACCCTACAAAAGAATGATTTTACAATTTTAGTTATCCTCTAAAAATATCCTTATATAGAAAAGAGCAGTAGGCACATCAGGTGCACCAGGCATGTGCCTCTTGAAAGTGCTGCGCCTGGGGCCTAGGTGAGGTGCATACCCTAAAATGTGCCTTGCCTGTGCGCCTTTTAAATCACTGATCACAAATAGCTCCGGGAATTCATCATTCAAGAGATCATTTCTGCACCAACAATCCTTCCAAAATCTTATCCAGATTTGTTTCACCTGCTTCACATTCCTCATTTCTTAAACCATATTTTGCTTGAATTACTCTTCCACAAATTATTCCCTTGTTACCCAAATCTCCAGTACCATTTGCCTAGTAAGTCATATTATATTCTATTGATCAGCAAAACAAGTCGTGATATATTGTTCAATAATAAATCTTCAATTATCTATTTTTATGTATAGATAAATGATAAATCATGTGCTTGGGAGTTCCTGACAATAAATAAACCAAGAATTTACCAATGACTGCAATTATAGAGAGACATTGAAAGTAAAGCCTACTAAGAAATATGTAGAGAGAGAGAGAGTGGAGCATAGCATTACTAAGAAATATTTAATGTCTTGATATGAAAGAACTAGATGGTATAGAACACAAATAAGTTTCAATGCAGACTTCAATTATGTCCCAGAATCAAAAGGATCATACTGCAGGAAACAAACAACATTAACTATAACTGGGTTTCTTTTATGGTGAAATGGATTATTTGCAGGTTGAAACAAATAGTGTGCATCAAACAAATGAACTAATGGAGATTACACACTTATACTCACTTAATATAGAAGTCGATTATAGTATCATTGATGAAAGTCTCTGGTTGTAATAGTTCAACATCTCTCTTACTAATAGAAACAGCATCAGGATCCCCTTTTGGATAGATAACATCTTCAAAAGGTTCATCAAAACTGGACATTCAGATCTATCAGTACATACATTCACACAATAGTATAAAAGCAATCTAAGAAAAATTCAACTAAACATCACATATTTTAATGCCATTGGTATAGGAAGAGTGCAGAATAATGTCATACTTTCACTTACTTAGGAAAGTAGTGTTTTGAAGATATCATGCTGTTTTGCTCTGCAAAATCTTCTTCCCTCACCAAATCAGTACTGCAAAGAAATTAATTTAACCAAAATTAATTAAAAAATAGACAAAAGAACTGTAGCTCAAGAATTACAATTCTGGCACAAGGAACAAGGAATTGCAAAGACAATATCCCTGTGTGCCATCTTCAGTGTTTTAAAAGCACAAGGCGCAAGGGCCATTTTGCGCCTGAGGCGCAAGGCAAGGCGCAATATTAAAAAAAAACAGCTAAAAAGCAAAAAAAAGCAAAAAAATCAAAAAATTATAAAACATAATATTAATAAAAATATAAACTTAAGTTTTAAAATAAATGTTTTAAAAAACCTATTATCTAAAATTAAAATACATAAATATAATATATAAAGCACATTCAAATGAGAATTTAAAAATGAAATCAAACATATAAAACCCCCACTCTCTTTTTTTTTCAATTGCATCAAGTAGCTAATGTGACATATTACATTCCTAATTCTATGAGCCACCTTCGTGCCACGCCCCTCGAGGCAAGCCCAAACAAGGCCATGTTAGGGTCTTAAATTCTTAGTTTTCACACAAAGAATAATAATTTTATAGTTTTAATTGCTCTTAAGAAGATATTTTATTTGGATGAATGAATGAACAACATTACCAAATAGGGAATTCTCGAAAAACTAAGAATTTAAGACCCTAACATGGCTTTGTTTGGGCTGGCCTCGAGGGGCGTGGCACGGGGGTGTCCGGAGGCGGAGCCCCCAGCCCAACGGCCAGACTCAAAAAAATGGAAAAAGCAGCAAATTTTCAAAAGGTGCATGCCTAGGTTAAGGCGCAAGGTGCACCAGGCGCACGCCTAGGCGCACCAGGCGTGCACCTTTTGAATGGGATGCGCCTAGGCCCTGAGTGAGGCGCCTACCCTAAAATGCGCCTCGCCTGTGTGCCTAGGTGCGCCTTTTAAATCACTGGCCATCTTGTACACTTCTTCCCTTATTTTGTACATTATTATTCATAAAAAGATAATAACCCAGCTAGTTTTATTCAGCAACTGGTTGCCAGAATTCTGCAGGAAAGATTGAAACTAAGAATATAACTTCATGATATAAATGACTAAAAAACTTTAAAGGACATTCATAGAGTGCAGGTATTGGAATAAGATCTTTTACACATTGATCAACAATATGATCTGTTTTATGCATTGTCCACATGTAAATTCCAGGGTGTAAATGTTATGCCTGTAGCAACTGAATATAAAACCAAGTTCAAAAGAAGAAACAAATTGCTCAAAAAGAAGAAACACAATTTTTATAAGGGCATAGGGCTAACATCTTTCCATCTCAAGCATTGTGGCCATATGGAATTCAGTTGCATAGAAGTTTGGGAAGAAACTGGCTGTTAAAGAAAAGGTTTACCCATTCAAAGGACATAAGTAAATCTACTAGGAATTTCTAATTAAAACCTTCCAATTGATTTGTCTTTGTTCTCAATCCTAGTGTCAGTAGCTGCAATGCCTTGGGAATGATTTTCTTGGGTATTTGTCTAATGAGGATGGGAGTGAGTGCCTCATTAAGTGCATTGAAGTCAAAGTTTTACATCCAAGGACAAGGATGGAGTGGCTTGAAGACCATTCTTTATTGAACAAGGCTTCGGTGGTCAAGTGGTTGTTGATGTTTGACAATGAATAAAACACACTATGGAGAGTTTATAGCAAGCAGTTACCATTGTTTGGAGAAGGATTAGCAGCTGCACCCATCACTGGAAATGCATCTACTATTTGGAACAGTATCCTCGGAATATAAATATCTTTAAGTGGAGCAATAATCAGGCAAGGAAATATACAGAACTTATGCTCCTTATGTAAATCTCATAAAAAGCCACCCCCTTGTTTATTGTTAGTGTGATTACTTGCTGAGTATATTATGTCATTTCATCTGCTTTTTTCTCATTCTAGTAAGTGTGCACGTGCTTTGCACATGGCAATTTTGGATGATGATGATGATTAGGGGTGCAACTTGAGCAGGTTGGGTCAGGTTGAAGGTCAACCCAGGATCAACCCTAAAAGTGCAAACCTCAGGCTCAGGCAAGGCCCAATCCAAGGTTAAGCCTAAGTTTATCAACCCAAGCCCAACCCGAGCTTAACCCAAGTCATTAGGTTGGGCTTAGGTTCAGGCTGGGCCGGGTTGGGTTAGTTGGGCTTGGGCGGGTTTGAAAGAATTTATGTACATATTTTTACATATTCATCTTTTAACGGGCTTTATGACCCAATTTAAAAGTATAATCAATTGAAAATATGTACAAATTTCATTTACAAATGAACATTTACATATTTTATACATATACACACATAGATAAATAGAAAAAAAAATGATTTTATATAAATACAATAGATATAGGTATGTATTTTTTTCGGGTGGACTAAGGTCGGGTCGGGTCCAAGTTTTATGGCCCAGGTGCACCCTGTAGCCTGAAAACTCAGGCCCAACCCATGCAAAAAAAAACTTGAGTTGGGTCGGGTCAGGCTCGAGTTGGACCCGCCCTTGGAGCTGCCCAAGTTGCACCCCTAATGATGATAGTAAATAATATGTTTCCAAAATTTTCTACAATTTCTTAAATTCCAATGTCTATAAAAATTATTCTTATTTTTGTTTAATATTATGAATATATGATATTAGAAAAGTGCCCAAATTTTTTCTACGATAATGTTAATGGGAGTGGTTGTTCAAATATAAGACTTAATGAGAAGGATTTGAATGAGAAAAGTGGTTGTTCAAATTACATTCTGTCCTTGCAATTAGAGAGGGACCAAATTCAAAAAATTGGGGTATTTTTTGATGAATAAAAATCGGGGTATTTTAGTCAAACAAAAGTTCCACACTCTCATTCGAACTTTTAATAGTAGTACAGATTTGATTTGAGTTGTTCTAGGAAGTATGCCCTCCCTTATCCCAGTATGGCCAAAGAAGAGCTTTAGCCAGAGAATTCATCCATATTGTCCACATGTAAATTCCTTTGGTCTTCCTCTTTAAAGGAATTAACATAGCAAATTTTCATAATGATTGGGCAAAGAAATTCTTTAATCTACTTAACAAAAAAGAAGAATTTCTTTAGTCCACTTCTTCATGCATAATCTATAGATCCTTGTAATTCATCACAAATTTTGACCACAAAGACAAATGCAAAAGGGACTTGCTCCCTTTCTCAATGCATATTAATACAAAATTTTAACCTTTATGTATAAGTTATGTTAATTTTCAAATTATCTTTGCTAGTTCTTTACAGGAGTTAAAACAAATCAAATTATAAGTTGTTCTTTGTGGAAAAATGCAACAAGACCATACTTGCACATTAATAACCAGTCAACACAAAGAACTCACTCAAGCACAACGTTCCAGATAGCCTTGTATCTTTCATTTAATGAAGTGATCTTTTCCTGTTTCTCAGACCAGTTAGGGTCAGAGAGCACAAAAACCAACTCCAAGATGTCTGGATGCAACATATAGCACAAATTTAGTATTTGACAAATACTAACTGAGAAGTGAAATTCTGAATGAGAAGAAATGAAATAAGTTCTGATATGGTCTTAATAGGACCCTGAAAATAGCATATCATAATTTCATATTTTTATCAGTATATTTCATAATTTCATATCAATGTGGCAGCAACTCAGCCAATATGAGAACAGCATAATGTTGCTTAGACCAACTCGGAAATAGTCCTAATCCTTGTATCTAATGAGGGAGAATTAGTACATAAAAGAAATCACTAATTTGTAATACATGAAAAATGATGTTGAACTTTTTAAACAATAATAAGGAAAACAGAGTAAAATCTCAATACAATGTGGCAGTAGAAACAATATAATAACACAAAAGAAACTGTTATTTTTTGGGTGGGGGATCCAGGAAAGTTCCTAGAATGGTATCTGTCACAATTGGTCTTCCTCAAAAAGAACAAGCCTGGTCTGAATATAAAACAGTTAGGGAAAGGATAGTCTAAGATGCTTGAAAGTAGCAATTCCTAGGTAGAGCTCGGAAGAAGGGGAATTGAGAAGCTTCCTCAACAAAAAGAAGGAATCAAACATATTAATAGAGATGTTTAGAAATTTCAGCATCGAAGATACAGTCAGAGATCAGAAATTTGTGGACTTATCTACTTTCTTTTTATCAGCATAGAAGATTTTATTAGTTCAATGAAAACGTGTAGTACAACAGCTTGGGATTTTCCAACAGCACTAAATACAAAACATTCATAGTAAAGCCAAAAACAACCAATGTCTATTAATCCCTTGCTTTACTAATGAATCCGCCAGCCCATTTGCAATTCTTCTAACCCAATTGTAGGTGTTTAATTCCTTTGAGAGACATTTTATTTGCCCCAAAAGAATGCCTGTACATCCAAGGGACTTGGCAAATGCCTTTTTCCCAAGTGATGACCAGTTTTGAGTTCCCCTCTACTGCCAAGAAGCGGAAGCCAGATTGCTTGGCTAATCTTAGGCTTTGTAAAAAGGCCATCAAATCAGCCTTCACAGAGTCTCCCACTCCAATAGGTCCTGATTACATAGCCACCACCCTTCCCGAGGAATCTCCGAATACATCCCCTATACCTGCCAACCCTGGATTGCCCATAGAATTCCCATCAAAATTCAGCATTAATGTATTGCTTAGTGGAGATTTCCATTCCATAACCAATCTGTCTTAATCCTTAGAAGATTGTACCACTTCAACCCATGTTATTATATCATTCAACGGGAAAGCTTGAAGATTTTCCATTGTCTTTACCCACTGTGCCACTTTGATCTTTATAATGTCTATTACTTTCTCCTTCGATCTACTAATTTCATTAAACATTCCTCCATTCCTTTCTTCCCATATAGTTCACACCATTGCTGCCCTAACTGCCTTCCACATAATTCCCTAACTTTTCTTCAGCTGCCTCAAAAAACTTGAGCTAAGGAGACTTACCACATCTTGAAGGGGGATCCACCTGCACCCAAAGAAAGAGCAAAAGTACTCCCAAAAAAAATGTACAGAAGGGCAGGAGATTAGTAAATGGGAGATGGTTCCTACTATCATAAGAGTAATTCCACTATTAGGGGTGCTCCCCCAAAAAGAATGATCAAGCTCATCTTCAACAATTGTTAGGGGTGCTCCCCCAAAAAGAATGATCAAGCTCATTTTCAACAATTGTTCATTAGGAAATATGGGCTCTTCAGGGATTCGTAGAGTGTTTTTCTTCTCTTTTGAAAAGGTAAACTATAGTTCTTTCATTTATATATGCAACAGATCAGAGTACATAACCATAATAGTAACTTATAGAATGATGCTTCCCATAGAGAGGCACAAGATGCAGCCTCAGTTACAATTCAGCCCAAAATAGATGCTCCATTGCTCCCTAGTGCTCCCCCAAAAAGAATGATCAAGCTCATCTTCAACAGTTGTTCATTAGGAAATATGGGCTCCTCAGGGATTGGTAGAGTGTTTTTCTTCTCTTTTGAAAAGGTAAACTATAGTTCTTTCATTTATATCTGCAACATATCAGAATACATAACCATAATAGTAACTTATAGAATGATGTTTCCCATAGAGAGGCACAAGATGCAGCCTCAGTTACAATTCAGCCCAAAATAGATGCTCCATTGCTCCCTATGCACTCCTTTCTTAGCTAAGTAATCAGCTATCCCATTGGCTGATCTCCTTTGCCAAATCACCCTTATAGTCATGTTAGTGGTTAACCATTTAAACCTTTTTACAGCTTCCCTATAAGTCCAAATTACAGTTTCCTGATCTGTCAGCCACCCGACTACCAGCTTTGGTCCCCCTCAATTATCAAGTTGTCCATGTTCAGCACTTCAGCTCTCTAGCAAACTGTGCTCCCTGCCATACAACTTGAAACTCAGCATGGGTGAAGTCCCCGACTAATACAGGACCTGAGTATAATGCAATTATATGCCCTTATGCATTCCTAAATACACCCCCTATTCCTTAAGGCCCTGAATTGCCAAGGCTGCTTCCGTCAAAATTTAGCATTATTTCAGGAGGTACCCAAGTAGAGCAAGGCCTAACTTTGACCTCTGAACTTTTTGCTATAGCTTCCCAATTCTGCCAGATATCATCAAAGGAGAATTAGGAAAATAAATCCAAGGTCTTAGCCTAGTGTATAACCCCACTAGCGCTACTTAAGAGTTAAGAAGGATTCCCAAATAGCCTCCTCAAGTCATTCCTATGCTTATCATTAAAAATTCGAGCATCTCTGTTCCCATACTGTCCACACCATTGCAGCCCTAGCCCATCTCTACAGGATCCTGCCCTCCTCTTAGATCATCTGAAGGTTGTAGGGTCAAAAGGCTACTGACCTACAAAGGCAAAGACCACCTACAACCAAATAGTATAAACAACCTTTCCCAAAAGCTTGCAACAATCAGGCAGGAGATTAGCAAGTGGTAACAACTCTCAGCATTAGTTTTGCAAAGGACAAACCAATTTAGGGGGAGAGACAAAGGAATAGTCTTCTTTTTTGCAGAGTGTCTATCGCATTTAATTTTCCATGATGGAATTCCAAACAAAGAGCACCAACCTTGGGTCGGGCAGGTTTTGACCAAACTTTTTTAGATGGGAACAACAAAGGGAGGAAGCCAAGCACAAAGAGGGAAAAAAAAAAGGAAGCACAAGAGAAGTTGTCCTTTGGGTGAGGAGTCCAAACCCTAAATTCTACTATCTCTAGTACATGCATCATATACCTAATAATGCTAGAAATTGAGTAAGAATGTCATATGTAGCTTTCCACAGAGTAGTCAAAGTAGTGCACTAAGATACACCAGCATCCCAACCCTTGTTATCACTTCAATGTATACTTCCCTCTCCATAGTCATCTCCACAACCACTTACCAAGGAAAGCCAAATTCTTCTTCAATAAATTACATATATCTAATCCCCCTTTCTCCATGCTCTTGCACACAATTTCCCATTTAATCAAGTGATCCTTCCTTCCTTCACCATGAATCCCACAAGAAATCCCTCATAATTCTCTCTACTTTCAACACCTCCCTTTGTGGCATCCTAAACGCTGATAGGTAGTAAAATGGCTAGTTTAGTAATGTGGATTTTATTAAGGTTATTTTTCCTCCTAAACAGATATAACTTTTCTTCCATACTGCTCGTGGGTTTCCTGAAGTGGGGCAACCTAAGGAGTCCGATTTTTGCACTCAACTTTTCCTCATTTAGATTTATCCCAGCAACACAGCTTTTCTCAAAGTTAATCTTCAACTTTGAGAGACACTCAAAACAGTTTCACTACCCAAGTACCCATTTTGGATTTCTTGCTTTTTGGGGTCCCCTTCTCACAGAAAATGATCATATCATCCACAAACTGAATGTGAGTTACTATTGTGTTGTTCCAACCAGTCATGCACCCTCTACACAATCCCATCCTATCAGGCTCTCATCATTAACCTACTAAGTGCATCTGCCACCAAGGTATAAAGAAAAGGTGAGAGGGGGTCCCATTGCCTTAGCCCTCTGCTATCTCGAAAGAAATCCTAAACCACACCATTCAACATTCACGAAAACCAAGTAGTGATAGGTTTCCAGACATCCTTCAATCCATCCACATCACCTTTCTCCAAACCCACAGTTTCTAATTATCTAGAGTAAGAAAGATGAATCTACCATGTCATAGGCTTTCTCAAGATCCATCTTACACAAAACCTTTCTTTCTTCTCCTCTTCAAATCCTCCCCACACCCATTAGCTATTAAGATTTGATCAATGATCTGTCTACCTTGAATGAAAGCCCTTTGGAACTGGCTAATCAAAGAGAGGAAGAGCTGCTTTCAATCTTAATGAAAGCACTTTTGCCAAAATTTTATAAATGCTCATCACCAAACTAATGAGTTTGAAGTCTTTAGGCAAAGAGGCATCCTCCGTCTTAGGTATCAAGGCTAAGAAAGTAGCATTAATACCCGGGCTAATAAAATGCTCATCAGCAAACTCCTCAAACATTGCCCAAAAGATTAAATTTAATAATTTCCCAACAATCTTGGTAGAAGTCCATAGTAAATACATTTGGGCCTGAAACTTTTGATTTGTTCATTGAGAACACAGCCCTTCTAATTTCTTCCAAACTAAAATCCCTCTCTAGACATCATGCCACTTCGTCCTCCAACCTCATCCATTCCAAACCCTCCACACTAATCCTACTATCTTCCTACCTTCTATAAACTACCATAAAATGATGCACAAAACACATAGCAATCTCCTCCTGATCCATCACAGTTTCCTTATTCACTACCAATTTTGTCAGAAAATTCTTTCTCCTTCTACCATTCTTTTTGATAAATAACCGAAGTTCTAGTATAGTTGGCCTTTGTTTCTCCTTCTACCATTTGCAATCGCATCGAAGAACTTAGTATTATCAACCCCCTCCTTTATCCATTTCTGCCTTGATTTTTGTCTCCAACAGATCTCTTCCCTTAAAAGCATTTCTTTC